ATAAGAAAAATAAATCCATGTGTTTTCTTTCACGGAATGGTTAACCTTTCAACATTCACATCTCAATTGCAGGATCGCGGTGGAACAAGCTTTGGCCTAATGAGCACAAAGTTTAGGGATCGATCGTAAATAAATCAGAGGGCAAACCATCTTTTTCTAGTATTGTTTAAGTTTAATTAATTTACCTAAAATCTTTCCTTGTAAAACTAAATCAGTTCTAGTCGGGAGCCCTGAGCCCTCGTCTTCTAACATCTAATGCATATATATATTCTATTTTAGAAGCTATATGTCAAGTTTGGTTGCTCTAGGTCTTATTATTTACCAAAATTGCCCAAAAACAGGATATCGATATCGATTCTTATCGATTGCTTGGAAACGGAGTAAGCTATCGATTATCAGAAATAAACATCTAAAGTCTCTAGCTCTTATAGGTTCTGAGATTCTTGCGTTCATACATACGGGCGGGCGGACGGACAGACAGAGAGACGGACATGGCTAGATCGACTCGGCTATTGATGCTGATCAAGAATATATATACTTTATGGGGTCGGATTTGCTTCCTTCTGCCTGTTACATACTTTTGGATTTTGCACAAATACAATATACCCCTATACCCATTATTAATGGGTTCAGGGTATAAAAACGTTGAAAGCGTGTGAAATAGGGTTTTATTTACCATTCCGTTCTTCTTAAAAAAAAGGTTTGGCTATTGGTTGTTTACTTTTGATTTAGTTCAGATTACAATAAAAATTGGAATTCTAGGATCGAGCAAGTTTGGTTCAAAATCGATCTGCAGCCTAGGTGTGTATAAAAATGTACTATGAAATAGTAGTAATAATTATTTTAATAATAACAAGTTACTGGGAGTTTTACCGACGTATGGACTAAGACGTATAACTAACTCCATTGGGCTTAAATAGTTTTTGCTCGGAATATCATATAGCTGCCTTCGACAAATATATTTTTATGAAGGACGCATTAGTAGCATCATATCGTATCATTTAGCTGCCTGGAAAACAATTGCCCAAAGATCGAGATTAACGACTTTGTGTGTCCCAGATCAATTAATAAAGTACATTGTCATATGTATATCAGGAAGGGTATTCCTAGAGTTAATTAAAATACACATGCTTATTTTCGGAAAATTTTATTATATAACCATTTAGTGATACATATCATTTGTATATATTTGTTATATAAAGTTATTTTTTAATCGACATTAGTATTTGCTTAGTATTTGTTTAAAATTAATGCCGACTAAAGTTGATTTATGAAATGTATTTTAAAGATATATTTTCTTACGAACACAATGCGGTTATTTCACTAATGGTAATAATATTTGTATTATGTTAATTTAGGCCTTACAAGTTTAAAAAGAAACATTTATAAAATATTCGTTGTAAATATTTTAGCCGCCATCTACAAATTTGATGTAAAAGCTTACATACTCTGTAAAAAAATATTTTCACGCGGTTGGGTATGTATGTAATACAATTAATTGTAAACATTTTTATTAAGGTTGTCTTTTATGAACGGCAAACAAATATAAAAAAGAACATTTGGAAATTCTTAAGAAATAAACGCAATACTTCAATAAATTCCTTTACCATCTGTGTATCTTACAGTTAAGCACTGAATTTTATATATAAAATGTAACTCATATTCATATACAATGACTCTACTGGAAGGTTTCAAATACATCTTAACAATGATATAAGAAACTACTGAACCTAAATTAACATATACATACATGCCCCTATTTATATCAGCGCGATATTTCAAAGAACATCAATGACTTTAATACTCTCCATGGGAGCAAAATGTCTTGATTCATAGCTAAACAGCTCGAAAATTAGTTATTCTCATACTCACACTCGAACCATTTGTTCCACAAAGAATTCACACATATACAAATATATTAGTAAAATAAACGGACGCACAAAATACCCCACAGAGGAATCTCTCAATTCATTTACACCGCTACACAATTCTCAAGAACCAGTCAAACACAAATCGATTTTGTTTTATAAATATTGTAAGCTTAATAAAGCTTTTGCTTATTAATCTCTATTCTTGCTTATATATTGTTTTATTTTCCTCAGTTAATTCGTAGTTATAACATAATTGTGTAAAATGTACGTTTTTGGTATCATTTCACATTGTACATACAGTCGTATGCGATTAAATAAGTTTTCAATATTTTGCGCACTTAATAAACTGTATTTAGTCTCACTCATTTTTACCGTTCTACAATTTCGAAGTAAAAACAAAATAACAAAAACCAAAAACAAATCAAAGTAATTTATCAATTCAAATATAATTATATAATAATCAACTATAAATATAATAAAAAAAAAACGTGTCCAAGGCTCACTTAATATTCAAATAACTAAATCATTAAAAACTACTTTATGTAAATTCTGGTTGGACTAGATATATATCGACTTTTTGTTCGTATATAAAAGTAAAGAAAACAAATGTTTTTGGAATACTTGATTAATCAAGGCTAGGATCGTTTTGAAAATAATCAAATATACACAATTGCTTAAAAGCGAATATGATTTTCAGCGCAAAATACTATCATCGGCTTTTTGTCAATCTTTAATATGATTGGCTAATAAATATATAAGTCTTTTTTATTCACATTAATAGTATAAGCTATGATATAAATATATGTATATATATTTATATAATATTCATATATAGTTTCAATTAATATTTCTATTTGCATATGTATGTTTGTGTTTGTATTGTTATATTCTTTTATGTATTGAGTAAATAATATAATATAATATATATATATATTATTTGTAATCAAATTTATCAATTTGATCGTACATGTGCTTCACCTAATATTACCGCCTATTTATCAGTCAACTTATAATAGAAAATTATGTATTTTATAATATTTGATGACAACGAGAATACAGAGTTAAATCATGTTTGTCATACACAATTACAAGTACAACATAATAACATAATTTAGTAGCTATTTGTGTAGGTTATATGCCTTTCAAAGCCATTATGAATCATAATTTACTAGAATATAATAAACTTTTAAATCTAAAAATTGGTTAATAGTCCTTACATCAAATACTAGCCACATATTAAAATATTAGATATATATATACATGCGATAAAAGGTGAGAAAATAGCTATGTATTTGTAATTGTAAATGTGTTTGTATTTATTTGCGATGTATTAATTTTATATTTATATGTATAAATAAATATATATATATATATATATATATATACATATATATAAATATATATATATTTGTATATATATAGACATACACATATATATATATATATTATGTATAGTACGTGTATAAACGCACGGTTTCCTGATCTGAACATCAATTTTTAAATGCGTTCAAATATCTAATACAAAACCTGTATTTGGAAGAATGCGATCGACATTTGTTTGAGATACCAGGCTGCGAAAATTGAGTTATGAAGAGAGATAATCCTAAAATAAGACATACTTATTTTAGACATGCCAAAGAACTTTTTTGAATTAACAAATCCAATACACCAAATAAAAGAAGTTTTAATTGGAATATACTCAATGTCATCTTCCGGTGCAATTAACCGAATTAATTTAACAAATATTTACCCCACCCCAAGTCTTTTCGGCATAGAAACAGACTAACGGACTAACAGATTCTACTTCTGATCATAACTAATCTCTATGTAGTTATCTTATGTGGTGAAGGTGCATATGTTAAGACGGGATTTTTTGTATAAATCTTTTTGGTTTACCATCGATCGGACTCAAACTCATTTTAAAAAACCTTCGTTCAAATTAATTTGAGGGGCGCTACAAACTTTTCGAAAAACCATTCCTCCTTTGTGAAAATATGGTTTAAAGATTTTGGTGCTCGATTTTTTAAGTTTACATATTTATATATTTATAATTGTTTGTTTTGTATTATAAGCAAGCATGTATGAATATAAGCGTAGATACCTGTTTACATGCACACATACATACATACATATGTACAAAAATAGGTACGCATATACATATGTAAATGTACGTACATACATACATACATATTTACATACATACATATATGTACATACATACATATATATGTACATACATACATACATACATACATATGTACATACATACATACATATGTACATACATACATACATATGTACATACATACATACATATGTACATACATATATACATATGTACATAGATATGTATATACATACATATCTACGAAAATTGGTACATACATATGTACATACATACATACATACATATGTATATACATACATATCTACAAAAATTGGTATATATATGCATATGTAAATACACACATACATATGTACATGCATACATACATATGTACATATATATATACATATGTAGTAAAAAAAAAAACACCAAGAAAAACCCTACAGTGCTGGATAAACATGAAAAACATGGAGCCTACTCGAATTCTTGAGAATCGAGGAGGAGAGTATTTGATAGAAATTCGTTTTTTTTTAAATTTTCAGCACAGGGACAAATAAGCTTGGTCTGCTTATATATATATATTGTACTTATAATATAGTGAAGATATTAATCATTTAAACACAAGAAATAATTGTGTTTAATCTCTTCAACTATATTAAGTATGCATAATATTAATTTTTATCAGAAGTGGAATCTCTCAGCCCGTCAGTTCGTGTGTTTTCCTACAAGCCTCTCAGGACGCACTGTTAAATAGATGTCTTAGAAAAAATACTCTGTTTATATGATATAAACAAGTTGAAGTTGGTTTTGAATAATTTGTAATTGTTTTATCGATATCGAACTGTCATAAGTATCAGCTATATAGCTATATAGTAATATAGCTCCGAAATCCATATTTGGTCGACAATTGAGTTCTTTGTGTCAGATCAGATCGTCAGATCGTTAGGCTGTAAGTCTCTAAGGGTATTTAATCTTCGGTACCTCGAAGAAACCTGATTAATATTGATTTAATTCTTGTTCAATTAAGGGTTATTTGCTTTCTTTGGCTTATTTATTACATTTCTAATTTCACTTATCCACAAATTAGGTTAAGGTTACCGAATGTAATATAGACGAGATAAAAGAAAATTGGATTTTTGCTGGGAATACCAGATTAGAATGTTCGTCAATAGGCATGTGCATGTATATAAATATTGATATAATATAAATGGAGATTATAAGTGTTTTATAAAACAATAATAAATAATATCAGAATTTTTGTGATCGGTTTAAGCTAAAATACGCATGGCATGGTACACAATGGAGTGGCATATTGGACAAATTGATTCCATGGAGACACAGATCTGATTTGCGCAGTCCATACAAAACATATTGTGTCCACAAGGCACCAGAGCTGTGGTCACTTCTCTCTCGTTGCACACAAAACACTCGCGATGCGTTGAATGCAATTTGTCCGAGCTAGTCTGGACCGTGGTGCGTTGGTGTTGCAATAGAAGGCTACTATTTGGACATGGTTCCTTGAAGGTGCTGCCTACCTTTTGACTTATGTTTAGGCAGTGCTCACCCAAAAGCGAGTCCGTTGGACTAACCGAAGCCGTTGGTGAGCAATGGGATGCCGTCGTGACTGTTGTAGCTGACGGCAGATTCCAAATGCTTGGAGAGTCTCCAATACCCTCATCAACGTCAATGGAATCATTCAAATTCTTCCATATATTCAACAGCTCTGGGGGAGTATTAACGCTGTTAGTACTATTGGCGCTATTGTTCGTGCTTTTGGTTGATGCTGTTGAGGAGGCTGATGAGCATGAGCGCGTCAATATGTTGGCTGAGATCGAATGGCACTGGGCAGAGGCAGAGCCTGATGATACGGACGTGGGTGGACAGAAGGATAATGTTTTATTGCTGCCATTGACATTGGCATTGGCATTGGCATTGACATTGGTATTGGCAATGACATTGGTATTCGAATTGGTATTGCGGAACGTATTTGTTTTCAAGGGTTGACCGTTAATCTCATTAACAGTGCCTGATAAAGCCAGCGCAAAATTCTTGTCGGTTGTACTTACAATTGGAGCGATATCTACTAAATCAGAATTAGGGAAACATTTTGTTAAATTATGAACCGATACGGCATTCATCATAGCGTTTGTTGTTGTTGTCGAATTGGATATGTTGATATTTTCAATAACATTAAGAGCATTATCTGCGTAATTAACATTGGGGGAAATATCGCTGTTATAGATCGATGACAATATATTAGTGTTTAAATCGTCGCCTAGTATCTGAGTAAGCGTATTAATCGTGTGCAGAGTGGCAAACTCGTTCGATTCTAATGATTCAGTACCATTCTCACTGCCCTGGGTACTATTGCCCGTTCGAAGTGCTATGTGAGCCTCGATTTGCTTGCGTGCTGTCTCAACATTCTCTGGCAGTCCGGTTACCTCGAAAATGGGCTCCTTCTCGCGAGACGGTGTGACAATGTATGTTTGTGTTTCTTGTTGTATATGCTTTATGGTGGCACCTTTGGGACCAACTACTAGACCCACAACTCTATAAGGTACACGCACCTGTATTGTGATCTGCCCGGGTAGACATGGTGGCCCAGACTGGGCACGAGCAATTATGCCAACGCTTAATGAACCCGAATTACCATTTCCGGATAGTCCACTATTCGAACCTTCAATTGAAGGCTTTCGGGATGCCCGAATTAAGCTGAAGTGATCAGCAGCTGAAAGTATTTCCCGTTTGGCTTTGTTCACATCCTCTTTTCGTCCTGTTACAACAAATACGGGCTCCTCTCCGCGAACTGGAGTCTTGATGTAGGTATTTGTCTTCGCTCTCAAAGCTTTTATTTTGCATCCTAAATAACATACAAGAATTCGAGAAATAGATTACTAAAAACCTTCTCGAAAGATCGAAAATTAATGCGACCCCGCCCGTACTCTATCACATATTGGAAAAAATGTATATTTCCTAGTCACGATTGGAATTTACCATATATCGCATAATATATAGTATAGTATAGTTAGACATATTCGCTTACCTTGGCGTCCCACGATTTCAGCAACGTGTTCTGAGCTGGGGACTGGGACACATTCGGTCATATTTTGAGACTTCTTTGATCTGTCCTCCAACCCGGCGGACGGCATTAAGAGTCCAGATCCGGTCGTCGGTGGTAGCGGCAGATTATGCATTGCCACCTCACTCCTAGCGAAAGCAGCAGATACAACATTAATGGAGCCCATTTCATAGTCATTTTGTGCGGGCATTGGCTGTACGTAGCCGTTTTGATTGTTCTCATTCAAGCCAACCAGAGACAATTCCAATGCCAATTGCAATGTGCGCGGGTCTTCGGATAGCGGGATTGAATGCACTTTATGCTGTTCAATCATTTGGGTATGGGTAGTTGGATTGATCTTATGAATTGAATCTGTCATATTAATATCATTAAGCATTTTTGGAGCAGTAGCATTTACAGCGGCATGACTAGACATTTTAAGTGAGCATCTGTTAGCAATGAATGACGTTGAATCTGATTGTTTCTCTAATTGATTCGTATTGTCTTCCGATGCGACTTCTGGATCTGTGAATGCCGACAACGGCACCGAACTATTATCCACAATCACAATTCCACTTTCACCGCCGGAAGCATTCGAAGATGATACTGAAGATGATTTGTTATTGATAGCAAATGGCGATATTTGCGATTTTGGTAGCGAAGCCAAAGCTATTGTGGAGGAACTCACTTCGCTGTATCTATTTGTCTTCGATAAGATTTGTGCTTCAAACATCTCATTATATATGGTATATATTTCAGTAGTACTATGACTCTTATGTATTTATCGTTGTATATATATGAGTGCCTTTTTATTAGCATTATATCTGAATGTCCGATTCTTTTGGTAATTGTAAGCCAGTCGCAGCACGCGTCAATTCATGAAGCCAAAAAAGCCTATACATTGTTAGCATGAATGTAAGTACTTATAGCCAGCAATATTAATTGCGAATTATGCGAATCTCTCACTTGACTCTTGGCATTTGGCAAATGTTCCGGGAGTAGTTGGTTTTCTTTTTCTGCAATAGAAAGAAATACTAAAATGCATTTGGTATACATACACAGGCATACTCTTGGGTGTGTGTGTCTTGTATAGGCATTTAACTCATACATACACAAATACGACATATGTATGTCCATTAGCTTTGTGTTTGTACTTACAAAATATCAGACTGAACTACCGTGACACTAAATATTCATGTAAGTAAATGCAATTCACGAACACAATATTTTTTTTCCTCTTTTTTTGTGTTGCCTTAAATATTAATAAATGCTTCAAATTTTATAAAAATGTAACTGAACGACGTTGATAGTTTCGACACTTTTGCCGTTTTAGCCGCGTTGCTTCCGTATATGCGTAGAAACATACATCCATATGCACATACATTTATCGGCGTTCTCTCTTTCTCACGCATCAACCCCTAACTTACACTACACCTTGTGTCACTCACCCTATAACCTCTCTTAGCTTTTCTTTCTCTACGTCAAAACCCCACCAACTTTCCTTACCGAAATTTGTATGTAATATTAAGGTAATATTTTCCATTTATTTGTACATTCGGTAAAAAATTCGAATGCATGTAAAACTTGAAACTGTTTGGAATGTTACTCAATAAATCGTGCATATATATGTATATATATAGCGCACATACATTTTCGTACATAAATACATATATATCTGCAAATTACACACATTCCTGCAGTAGGATCGCAGCCACGCCTCGCCCACTTTTTAATGTACAGGATATTACACAGTCAAATAATTAGGGTCAACAACTTATGTACATACTTTTGTTTTTGATTATTAACAAGCAGGTTAGGCTTCGGTATACTTTTTTATGTTTAAATCAAAACAATTTTAATTTTTACTTGGCCGGCTATAAAATCATTGCCGGCTTCACACATTAACATATAATTTTAACATGCAATACATGTTAAAGACACAGCACTCCTAACAGTCTTTAACATTAACAGAGCATATAACAGACTGTTGTGTGGCGTATACACATAGATACAATGGCAAAATATATTTAGTGCTCGCTTACTAAAATGTTAAAACATGCTGTACATTTCTACAATGCATTTCCCCGATTACCGCAAAATGTTGAGGCGCACACTTTATCATTTGATGCAATTTACTCCATTTTCATACATGGACAATTTGAAGCACATGCTTACTCAAATTGCTATCATACTTCACTACACTGCACAACATGTTAACACACATATATTGAAATAACAGAGGTATTTGGCTTTGCACTTGCTGCTGAAAATATTATGAGGTTTAAAATTAAACCAAATATATGTATATGTTTCTGCATATTTATGAGTTAGTGCACGATCAGCTACCAACATCGATAAAAGTGAAAGTGAACTGAATATCGAAACCAGCCGTTCACGTCGAACACGCAGTTTGTGACGTATCAAAATAGCAACGGGGACGTGACGTCAATTTTTTTAACTTGATTCTAATTTTAAATGCACTTAATTATAATTGTAGTGTACTGTACTAATTATATAGATACGGTCTGCTTTCAATTGATTTAAAAAATTGTAATATGGTTAAAGCAATAGAAAATTATTTAATTGTAAGCCAATCTCTTATAGTTCGTACTAAAGGTCTATCGAACTGCTAGCTCTTAGCTGAATGAGCTGAATCAATGTGCTGAATCACTGTTTCAATTCAGTGTTCAACACTTTTAAACAGCACTGGGCGGGAACAAAGCAATTCGATTAATATAACAAAAAAACCGAACAGATTCTTAAATATTTACCTTAATAAGCCAAACTCAAGTATATAGATAGAAATTTTAATACTCTTGTAGACATTACTTTTTTTTTGATATCTCAGTATAGCAAAACTCGTAAATGCTCAGACATAATATTTTCCCATATAATAATCTACTTACCCCCTTTTTTACTTACTTTCTTTCTTTCCTATAGCAGCTGTATGATATAGTGGTCCGATTCGGCTCCGATCTTAAAAAGGGAGAGTACAATTAGAATACACTCTACAAGGGTATAATTAAAGCGAAATAAATAAATAAAAATGATACGACGTTATCGCTCTCTTTATTTCGTAATGCAATTTTAATACTCTCTGCAAGGGTATAACAAATAGCCATATATCTAAAAAGGACTATACAAAAATTCTATTTTAAGAATTATCAGATATATAATATTATATTATTATGTACATTACAATAATCGCTAATGATGTTAAAAGGAATCGGTTTGTTAAGTTTAAATTGTTTGTAATACAATTAAAATGAAGCGCTCTTTAATAATTACTTCAACACTTGAGAAGATTTTATATATGTATGTCTAAGAACTAGTTTACTGTCAACATATTTTACTGTAGTGACTAATAAATCAATTAACACACATACAAATGTAGGAGAATAGTGTTTATATTGAACGCCCTCGTATATATTAATGTTTGCAGTTTGTCATATTATTTTGATTTTGACTCGATGACTTTTGAAAAGTCATGTACATCATGCTTTACAACTGTTTTATTATTTGGATTTTTGGTTTAATTTCAATAATCTACTTATGCATACTTATAATACATTTTATATCGCATCCAAGCTGCAGTCTGTCAGATCTTTAGTTGTTACTATATTATATTGACGATTTTGAAACCTGGCATTTTGGATACGTATACATATAGCATAATATAAAGTAAATTTATTCTACAGGTTGAAGGTTTTGTAAAGCTAAAGCTAATAGTTATTGTGCTGGAAACTGTTGTTGATGAAGCAATTGTTGATTATGCCGCCGTTCACGTGCTCGTTCTATATGTCGTTTGCGTTCTTCCTTAGTCCAGTAACGTCCGATCTTAACCTCTGATATTGTATCATCCTCTGTTGTTATTTCATTGTTGCGAATGCTTTTCCGAATTCCCATGCTGACGTTATTACGCACTGGTCGCTTTACAATATACCGAGTTCCATCTGGACGTCGTTTTACTTTCCATACCATAGGAATCTCCTCTGAAGCATTTTCCGTTGTGACAAGAATAGAACTTGGTTTTGGTACTGCAACTGCCTTATTGGCGACCTGAATAATTGGTTTATTGTTATAATGCTTGTTTGTTTCGGCAAAAGGTAATTTTAAATCTAGCAGTTCCGCTTATACTTTGTACTTAGAACATGTGGGTATGCTTTTCGTACTAAGTTCAGAATTAAAACAAAATAAAAAAACAGATTTCTTCGGGACGCCGAGGTTTACCGCTCCTAATAGCTGATTTATCATAGACTGGGGTATACCCTGAATCTTCTACTGCCAAAGGACAGACAGACGAATAATAGCTAGATCGACTCGGCTATTGATGCATATCAAAAAAAAGCCTTTTACCGATTTTCCATGGGTTGAGGTTATAAAGAGAGGAGGTATATAGAGAGAGAAAGTGTAAAGGGTATATATAGAGAAGGTATTTAAATAATTTTTTTTTAATTTATCATATCATTGATGGGGCGGGTGATGACTCATTCTAGGCATTCGTTTATATATTTAAATACCCTCTGCATTTGTTAAAGTACAATATACATATTGGTGGTGTAATCTTTTGACGCAAACTCAATAAACAGGTGTTTTTGATAATACATATAAAAATGAAATGAGTATATCCATGCATTTAATTTACCTCTTGACTGCTAACAAAGTGATAACGGCTCAAATTGGGCGCATTGAATTGAGGGCAGTGGCCTTGCTGTTCTTGCTGTTCTGTTGGGTTGGGCTTGGCTCGCATTATTTTAGAGTCCGTTTTTGCTGGCGCTGCTGCTGATGCGTTGATTGCGAAAGTGTTTATCTCGTCTGTAGATGTTTTGTTTAGAGTGGTGTTTTCTAAAAGAAAATATGTAATTGTAATCATTGTGCTATTAATTTTGTAACCAAATCAATTTAGTAACTTACCGCCAGGACCACTATATTGGGTGGGATTGGAACTCAATATGCGACCAGTCTTTCCGAATGGCAGCATGTTAGTTACGGGCGTTTTTAATACAGCTTCTTTTGATAACTGTGATTGCATTAAAATGGGTTGCGTATTGCATTGATAGGAGCTAGCGGCGATTATTGGATTGTTGGCAACAGTGGAAGCAATAGTTTCATTGTCTAGATTTGAGGCATTTTGGCGAGGGGAAGCACTGTTATTGGAGCCACCTGTATTATAGGCACTTGAAGAGTTGTCAACCTCTTCTTGATTCATGCTTTTATTCTCGTTTTCAATATTATTATGGCCGCATGCACTATATCCAGCCCCACTACTGCTTGATCCACTCGTATTTGTAATAGCACTGCGCAGTGTATATACACGATTTGATATTCGATGCTGCTGCTGTTTATGGTACAAGTTTGGACGGCCAGCCAGGGTGTGTACTGATCTTGGACTGATCTGCGACTTAATACCCAACCATTGGGCAACTCGTTGTGTTTGCTGCTGCATTTCTAAAACATCTGCTTCGGGCATCATTGGTGATGAGCAAGATCCCATTGCGGTCATATAGTTTGAGCTTTGATATGGTGAGCAGTAAAGTGGCTCAGTTTCGGAATCCTCGGGTATAGTTTCATAAATATGCTCGCAGTCGTCATAATCGTATTGTTTAGGCTTCGTGATAGTGGCACTTTTTGTTGAATTTGGCAGGCTTTCATCTACTAATTGTTTCAATGCTACATCTTGGCTCGCATTGCTATCTAACTCAAACTGTGGGTGACTCGCCATTCGCGGCTTCTCAATGAAGCTCTTGTCCGTGGAAGTAGCCTGTGTTTGACTCCTACTTTTACTAATTTCTATATTTGCTTCCGAACCATTGGCAGCTGCTGGTAATTTAATCGGTAATTTTGTAGATGGCCCAGTTATTAGATTATTAATGGCATTTATTGACTGCCGTTGTGATAAAAGAACTTTGTCTAATTTGTCAACGACATTTGTGTAATCAGAAAGGAAGCTGTTAGCATATTCGAAGTTACTATCCATATCTTCGTCTTCGTCATCATCCTCATCCTCGTCGTCATCGTCGTCGTCGTCGTCCTTTATTATATGTAAGAACAGCTAATCAAGCTTTTGATAAGCATTTGTAAAGATTTATTTGTATACTTACGGGATATAAGAGTCGACTGACAAGCAACGTAACAGACATATTATTCTCGGCCATTTGTGTTTCAGCGTGTTTTTTACTTTTGATGTCCATGCCGTTGATGCGAAGAATTTGATCACCACGCCGCAGCCGACCATCCCTACCGGCAACACTCTCTGATTGAATATCACTTATGAAAACATTCTCACAGGAATCCACATCATCTGTTGGTGCCTTCAAGTCTGTGTTAATGTTTTCGTTGAATATCACAGGCTTAACAATACATTGTTCGTTATCTCTGTTACTATAGTAGCCGTTGCAGGAAACACTGAGTCCTATTTGATCATTAGTTAAGTCTCTCTTAACGAGCGTTACTTCCTACAAGTTTAAAACAATTGCATATATGTGATAATATATATATATATATATATAGGCTTACCTCGATGTCGATATCTGGTTCCAAACACTGCTCAAAGAGATGATGCTCTTGCTCGATAAAATGATCGATAGTTTGGACAATATCTTCATTCTGATGCCCCACTATAATCCTTTTATTAGTTTTATTTACTTCAGCAAAGGTTTCACACGTTTGTGTCTCCTTTGATACTGCCAAGGGCTCAGCAACAGTGGGGGGCTGCTCGGTATGCTCAATATTTCGAAATGTACGCAAGGTTAATATGATTTGATTTTTAGCTGACGGTGGCAAAATATAGGAGTTACTGGTTTCGCTGGCATCTGATATTTGAACACTTTTTGTTTTTGCACAGATTTCATTCGCCTCCTGAACGCCATCTATCGTAGAATTGGTGTCGTCGTTCAAGTTCGACGGACTAATTGGATTTTTCTTTCGGCATAATTCAACTACTAAGGTTTCTTTAGCTTGAAGGAACATTTGAACCGCTTCATAACTTGACAAGGATGTAATATCGCTGCCATTTAGCTGTAATTAATGATTTTATTCATGAAATTGTATTCTTATCCAGTATTAAGAATCAAAACAATCGCGGCGAAAGTGCACAAGCTTGCATTACACACTATACACATATTATTGCCCATATCACAGTGTGTCTGTTGGTGCGTGTTGTGTGTGTGTGCGTATCAGCTATGTGTGGAATTAGTATAGTGCAGGTGCAACTTAAACTCACCTTCAGTACAACATAATCGCACTCAAAAAGACCAACACAGTTATTTGAGCACATTTTGATAATTAATTACATAGTTCTATTAATTTTTATTCCGTGAAATGAATCCACACCCACACAACAACAGAAATACAGACATGGTTTACCATCGCCAAATTCGCCGCGACTGTATGACCAGAGGATGGATTTGGTAAAAATCTCAGAATTATCGATTATTTCCAAGATCTGATGGTGGTATTTTTTTAAGTTGTCCAATTACTTAAACCGGAAAATTGTTACTACTCTTATTGTTATTACTCTTGTGTATTGTTATTACTGTATATTATGTATGGGCTGGTCCGTGAGAAATCATTTCAAGTATTGCAACACATCTGAAATGATTAATTTATTCGCTTGTTCGTGGTGAATGACAATGATATTAGAATAAATAAACACTGCCCATGTAGTTACTTACAATTACATTTGGATTACTCTGTAACTAACAAGTTTAAAACAGTAAAACAATGATGAGCCAAATAGAGTCATGTAAATGTTGCATTAACATTGCATACGCATGTATGTATGTACGTTCGTGCAATGCTCAAACATGTTACAGGTACTTTAACGTATGTATGTATGTATGCATGTGAGTGCAAATATTTGTATGTGTATGTATGTATGTATGGTATGGTATGCACTTATCCTATTTTATTACATTACATATTATATTAATATCTAAACGCTTTTCTTAATATCTTGCTCAGTATTTATATATGTATATTTCAATTTTGAGGCTAGGAACAGCTGCATCCCTCAACGGACATATTTGGTATAACACTCAACACCAGGTGATGGCTCTCATCAAAATACAATAAGCTTAAGGAACTCATTTTGGTTGGCGAACAACACGGTGTCGCCGATGTTGTCAAAGCGGCCAAATGGGTATGAGGATATTGCTCCAAATACCCAACTCTGCACTCGCCACTGCAAAAGTAAGCATCAAACGAATCGGGCGCCACCACAAAATGCCATCCGAAGCTGGTGAAGTTGACCTTTAGAGGATATCGACAACAGCGCAACTCGTGATCGCTCTCAATGCAATCCAAGTAAACGCTCCGTTTTCGTCGATGCTTTTTCCGGGAGCCTATTTCAATGTGAACTGTCTACAAAAACAGGCGAAAAAATCACAATTTACAAATATATAAAATAATATATGGTATAAATATAGATATAAGATATATCGTACCAATGGGTTCTTTGAAGTACTGTCTGTCGTTACCACCAAAGGCCTCATCCAGGGCTCGACGCCTTTTATGAAAATTTCTTGGAGTTGCGTTGGACTCCTGCCCATTGTATATTCTGTGCCGAACAGGGGCTTGAGATCCACGTTTACCCATTGACCGAGTCCCGATGGAATTTTGTGACGGAACTCAAATATTTTAGCCTTGTGTGTATAACTCGTGCTATTTGACCGACGTATGGCCCGATGCAGAGCCACGACAATGTCCTTGTTATGATAATCGGCAATCTCTTCAATTATCTTCGGCTGATGGGCACTTATCCATTCTAAGCCTCGCAAATATAGGTGAAGTGTTACGTGAGATATGTCCGAGTATCCAGTACTGAACTTGAAACGAAGAAGATCTGATTTGCGGTTATGTCGCACGTGAGGCTCTTTAGAGACGATCGAGAAAAAAAAACAATAAATTAGATTTGAATGTCAATTTGTATGTTTTTTGGGATATTCAACTTACGTTCTGGAAATACATAAATGCTGCTTATGTGAGAAAGAATGCTTTCATATTCAACATCATCATTATCATCAGAATTATCATCGTCATCGTTGCTTCTGGAGTCAGTGGATTTATGATTTTGATGATTATCAAATCCCAGATTGTAAATAAATTGGAATTCCTTAAAATTATTGGGATCATCAGACTGCATTTCTGGGGACGAGTTCTGGTTCTGGTTGGATGTATATTGCATTGCTGATGTATATTGCGAATTGAAAATGTTTTTCGTAACATTTGATGTAGTCTCCGAAGAATCCGACACAATTTCCTCAGGCACATATAGACCCGTTCGGGAAGTACTTGCTGAATCTGGTTTATTGTTATGATCCCGAAACGAACTTGAAAGCGATGCGTTGTAGTTTTTATAGAATTTTTCCAATATAGTTTGTGGTACCGAAACTGGCTTTGTTATATTCGGTAGTTTTTTCAAATTCAAACGCATCAGAATGTGCATCTTAATTGATTCCAAACTATCCTGTTTGGCCTTCTCCCTTAATTGACGCTGCAGAACAGTGTCCCCGCCTATCAAACTATTCCTGATCATGCTAAAGCCTTGCTTCCCCCCAGAAGAAAGCAGACCGGCTGGCATTTCTAGGCCCTTGTTGGTTCGTCGGCTCGGAGCTTTGTTTGGAATAGTTGTGGTGCCGAGCGTTTGGTTAGCGCTTTCCGGCGCCTGCTCGGGCTCGGAATCGGGTTCTAATCCAATTCTGTTTTCATTAGGAACGGTTGCGTGAGACGACGAACTCGACGACGAACTCAAAGGACTGCTTTCGTTCAGTGTAAGGGCAGCTCCTCTCGATGCTTTTTTATTGTTGTTTACCTCCTGGGCAGATGCCAAGAGAATGATCATCGAGAATAGAACTGTAGTCGCATATCGGGCGAGTAGGAAACGGTAACGCCAGTCCCTGGATTTTATCTGTATTCGTCTGGGTTTACTGCAATGGCAGCACGCGTTATGGAAAGGAATTTTCGCAGATGAACTTGGGAAATCGGTGTCCGAATCAGAGTCATCGTTGGACATCACACGATCGATGGTTGTCGAACAGCCATACAGTTTGGCTAATTGTTGAACTCTTTGATCTTTGGATAACTTTGTAGCTGCTTCAATCGAATCCATAGTATTATTGTCTTTAGATGCAAATTGTGATGTATTCATACCTAACAAGCAAACAATGAAAAGTGCGATACTTATGATGTGATATATGCAAGATTATATGTACACAACATATCCTCGGTAGTCCGAAGCACAAGATATTTGTCAACACACACAATCGCATGTCACTCACATTCACATTCCGTACCTATCAATTTGTAAACATTGTATCCGATAGTTATCCAATATATGTTAAGGGGTGAGGATGTCATCTCTGACCCATACACAAACTATATATGTATGTACATATATTTTCTTTTTTGCCCTCTGCCTTTTGCCGGCTGCGAGTCCGGTCCGTTGACCTTGAATCCAATAAGTATAAAATATATCTATTGTATATTGGCAAATATTATCGATATTCTCATCATAAATACCTTATAAGAGTTGGAGTTGGAGTTTGAATTTCAAAAATTGATAAAACACCATTTCTTAATTCTTTATGTCGATTTTTGAAAGAGGTTTAGAACCGAACTTTTGATTCTTCATTCGATGGTAGCTCATTTTCAAATATCTATGTACATATGTAAATTATAAAATTCTACGTGGAATTCAACAGGCGGAAAGTGGTTGGGGTAAATTTATATGCGAAATTTCAAGCAAGAAACCTGGACCGAGTAAGGCCGGGAAATATTAGCTATGCATGTATGTGTTTATACTCACCAAATTCTTATCCAAGTTTAACAATCAGCAGCCACAATCACTTAACCAATCTCAGCATATTCTGTTATAGTTATTGTTACTGTCCACTTTAAGGGGTAGGTATGTACTTATGTATTTTATACATAGGCATGTGCGCATACATACATATGTATAACATGTATGCAAGTGTAACTGTCTCGACTTGTTAGTCCTCAGTTTTCAAGTCCAATGCATTGTTACGAGTAAGTATTCACAAACTTAACCACTTGAAACCATCAACCGTTATTAAACCGGCAAAGACGACCCGACTTCTTTTATTTATTCCCGAATTTAATACGTTGTGCGATAATAATTCGTATTTGTGTGTGTTGTGTAGCTACATATGTATGTTCACACCAACATACATGTATACATATATATATATATATATGTATATATATGTAAATGACGGCACTTTGTTGTAGTTTTTAACGCTTGTTTATTCTCTGAAATTGCAATTCTTTAATGTTTGCCGATGTGTTGGTGTACATGTGTATATGTAAATTAGTATATGCATATAGAAATACGGTATACAGTATGTGCATGCTAATGTATATGTATGCGCATTGCTACGTCTGAGCGTGCGTGTGTGTGCTTGTTGTGTGGCGACTGTGTGCATAAACGATTCATATTTATGCGAATCTCACCCACAAGTTCTTGATGATCACTCTCACTCTATTGTATTCAATTAAAACCATTTATAAACATCATAATCCATTTTTGTGCTCTTGAACTTCAGTTCAGTGCTGAAAGTGCAGCGTTCCTTTTGATGCATTCAGATTCGCACATACGCTTATACATATATACGCTTATGTATATACATACATGTATGTATATATAAATTATTAAATGGTTTATACATAAGTATCCATACATGCATATGCATAAATATACAAGCGTTTATTTATATATGGATATATGTATGTATATATATGGACAAGTACAAACATTCATAAACATGAATATATAAATTAATTACGTATCTCAAAACAAACCCAGCATACAAATATTGCGATAACAAACATTAGTATATATGCACGTATGCATGTATGTATGTACATATGTGCATATATATATACAAGCTAAATTGTACGTACGCGAATTCTATTTTGAACATTTTGCGATTCTTTACGTACGTGTGTACGTACATTTGTACCAAATACATACATATACATATACATATACATGTATATGCAAGCGCCTTTGTATATAAATATATCAATATATAAATGTTTGCATGTGTGTGTATATGTATACACTCATATATTCGTAAATAAAGATTTGTACGTCTTCACATATACACTTGTAAGTATGTATGCACATACATACATGTAATTAAAGTATTCGCACATGTTTCAATTATTTCACTTGGTACAGATTTGGATTGCAGCGCACTGCTTTTGAGTTGGCTACCACACAAAAAAATAAACAGGGATCAACAAAGTGGCAGCAGCGAATACAGCGATATACAACAGAGCCTGACCGTGCCATATAACTAACTGACAGATCCGCATCCACATTCACATTTACAGACATAAACAAGAAGCTGTTGCGCTGAGGATGAGTGTGCGCTACGTTCACGTTCGGTCAGGGCACCAGGTCCCATTTCAGAGTGTGGGTGGGCAGCGTAAGTGTTCGTTCTACTACACACTTCGTAGTTCTCATGCGCGTTTATTACAATTGGAATATAGCACGATTAATCTAGCATTGTGTTATTTTTCAAAGTTTTTGTGCGCTTTTAACTTATAAATATGATTGGCCGAATAAAAACACAAAGCAGCTTCGTGTGATGATCGCAGAAAGGACCCTGGTTCCGGCCCTGCATCTTATACCCTGTACCTATAACAATGCGTAACGTTGATATAATAATACTGTAGCAAACATATGCGACAGACAGAGGTATATATCATCCATATTGAAATTTATTTTTAATTTTCTTATTTATATGTTTTTTATTCCCAGTCTGAGTTTACTTATAATTTCTAATTTCAACAGACACGCATAAAGTCGCACAATTTATAAGTTAATTCAATCCTATACTTCAGTATAGGGAATCTTCAAGTCGACCTCGCTCTACTTAAGCGTTTTACTCGTTCTGATTGTTGTTGCTTGCCACAAAATACGTCTTACTTTTTTTTGTCGAAGTTTATATTCTCTAACAAATCTTACTTAAGTTCAAAAATATAAATTTGTTTTATTCAAATAAATTTTTTTCAGATGTCTTACCTGTTATATCGCATAAATAGCTATATTGAATAAATGTTTCGAATCAATTTTACAATTCAATGTATTCCAATTTTTCTCATTTTCTTACGATTTCAGTAAACTGAAACACCAGGCTTATGAAAAGAAAAACTAACTTTATATAAAAAAAAATATATATTCAACAATTTTTATGCATAATGTCTAATATTTTGTTTTCTCATTGACTTTACCATATATCGATAAGTAAGGTAGAAGTACTTTTGATCTCCAAGGTTTTTATTCTAAGTTTTATTGGGTTATTAAACATATGGTTAAGCATATGAACAATAATAATTAGCAAAGTAATATTAAGACAAAGCAAATTGAAAAAATAATAATATTTGGCACAATGCAAAACTTATTAAAAAGTTATTGTACTCACATCCAAATAAAGAGAAAATCAATTGCTTACTTTTGGCCTCTTATTCATCATTTTGCTGAACGTTAGTTTTTCTTGATGTCCCAACTGGTTTTAACATTGTTCCTTATGAGAGAAAAAAACTTGATTGAGTTTTTACGCTCAGAATTCAAAATGTCTTGCTTTAAATATTTTGTTTAAAAGGAAACTGAAAATGTATTATTGCGCAAAATAATTTGTCATAACCGTTTTAAATGTTTAATTGAAAGGCTACACAAATATATTAATTAGATACGAAAACTAAAGTGAATATACATAGATCTAAATATTGATCTTAGTCAAAACTACTAATATTGAATTATAATTTGTTACTAATTTAAAGGAGAAAGAAGGGCTATCTTAGGCACGCCAAAGATCTAATACCCTTGCAGACCCAACCTTTTCATAATGCTCATAGGGCTTTGCCCTTATCTAAGAAGTACCGGGAAAATAGTAAATGCCGAGTTTGGTCAAGATATCTTGATAAACAAAATGTTTTTTCATACAACTTAATTTTCGACCGATCGTTCCTATGGCAGCTATATGATATAGTGGTCCGATCCAGCTGGTTTTCACATATGTGCTGCGTGCAACAGAAAGAAGGAGTTCTGCAAAGTTTCATTAAGATAGCTTTAAAACTGAGGGACTAGTTCGCATAGAAACAGACAGACGGACAGACGGACATGGCTATATCGACTCGGCTGTTGATGCTGATTAAGAATATATATACTTTATGTGCGTTACACATTTCACGACAAAATTATAATACCCTCTGCAAGGGTATAAAAAGCATTTTATTTTGTGCATTAACTTTTATTAAATATATTATGATAATTAAAAAGAGGCATATGAATAAAAGTGGCATACAAAATATAAAAATAAGTTTGATTTGAAAATGCGCTCCCGATTTTGATTACTGTACTCGCTCATCCAAACTTCGTTCAGTGAGTAAATTTAGACGAGTTTCGATAAGTCAGTAGGTTTACTCAAATAACGAAGAATAGCAAGTTTAAGAACCGCACCACACACAATATGTTTTTCGTTAAATTCTTATGATTGAAAGAAGTAAAAACGTTCGGGTCGGGTGCAGTCGACCATGTGTTATGGCAGCTGATAACAAAACAGTTTATTTCGCGGCGCCGAAGATTTTATACCCCTTCAGACTTACATATATGAGATTGATTTGTGATTAATTTTACATGTCCATCAATTCACATGTGGGCGAGCAGGAAGACCTAAAGAATACGCACATATAACCAAAATATTGTATGAATAGGATATATATATTAAAATTTATATATTAATTTTTACTTAAACGTGCTGTAAAATATTGTACATACTTTAGTTAGCACACATTTCAACAGAAATACGGCTCTTTTCTATAACCAAAGATTCACGAATGCCATATAAGGCAACTACGAGCTCACAATCCGTTTAAAAATAAATAAATTTAAAAAAAGATACATTTACGTTACAACAACACCTGAACACCCCAATGAAGAGTAAACATGCACATATACACGCCTATGTTAATGTTTGGACTCATGGAAATGTGCAAATGTGGTTAACGAGTCTTTACCACAGAGTTTGCCTGCGTTATGTATGCTTATCAGTGTGTGTGTGAGTTTGTATCTGTGTGTTGATTTGCCCTTTTGGTTGGGTGCCGTTTGTTGTTGTGAACTTGTGGGTGCGATTTTGGTTTGTGGCTTTTCAATAACTAAAACGGGTAAATGGAGAAGGGAATTTATCTCTAATGTCGCGAGCTACGTAAAACGGCAGACTAGAATCAAAAAGGGGAATAAAGTAAAATAGAGACAGAGAGATGAAGGTGTATATAGAGTTGGATAAAGTTCGAAAGATTGACACTGAAATATAATACTTAAGAATATATTGTTTTATATTATATCCATGTATAAAACTGTTTGTCCTGACTGACTGATAGGTGATCAACGCACAGCCCAAACCGTAAGAGGTAGGAAGCCGAAATTGTCACTGTGGTTATCTTATGTGAGGAAGGTGCACGTTAAGACGGGGTTACGGGAAGTTTCACCCGCAAGTATGGAAAAATCGCGAAAAACGTTTGTATGAAACTTTTTTGTTTACCATCCGATTGACCTCAAACTCAAATTCAAAGTTCTTTGTTTAAATTCATTCCTCCTTGGTGGAAATGGGGGTCAAAAATGGATGGTGGATTACGTTTCGCGCTCAAATTAATTTTCAAGGATTTATATGAAAAATCATTTGAGACGTGTTTCACATTTTTCGCAAAATCAAAGCATCCTCGGTAGAAATGCGATTCAAAGATTTTGTTGGTGCAGTTTTTAGTTTTGTCCGATTTACCTCAAACTTATTTTCAGAACATAATGAATACATGTAACGATTTGGCAAATTTCACTCGCAACAGTGTTAAATTGGAGGAAAACGTTTGTATGAAAGTTGTTTGATTACCGTCCGATCAGTTTCAAAATCATTTTCAAAGCTTTTTGAGAACATTTATTTTATACGTGCCACGGGCAAGGCTGGGCTATACCCGCTAGTAATTTATTTATAATTATAAAAGAGTTTGCATTTTGAATGAATGAAGCGGGCTTACGCGCATTCATCAATGCTGACATACATACATATACACACACACATACACACCAATGCTACACATATAAAGGCACAATGGACCGATACGGACGAAGTTATAGGCCAATAAAGCCTGAGGATCGGATGGAGTTCATAAATAAGCATTGAGCATATGCTGTTCCTTTCAGCAAGGGCATGATGTACCATCGCTTCTCCGTTAGATTGATGGAAATCTTCTAGGCTGTTGCTGATCCCAAAAAGCCCATGTCGGGCAAAAACTATTGAACATTTAATCTGTTCAGGTTGGTAAAGGAACTAGAGGAACGGCAAGGGCTATCCGAGAGCCACTTCGGCTTCCGGAAATAACTGGAGGACAAGTTCTATCGTTACTGGTGGACATGACCACACGACCTATCAATTACCCAATGGCATCTTGGGTCAAATGAAATCTGCCTTGAAGAATGCTCTCAACTCAAAAAACTGGGCTACTGTGGTAGAATAGCGCACTCCGGATATAGCTGTATCTGATAAAGTGCTATTTTGATTCTCTGTCCGTACGATACCTCTGCAGGAGAGGTAAGAATTTTGAAAGCACAATAAGGAGTGAATTTTGAAGAAAAGAAAACCCATAGAGAATATTTACAAAGATGATATTTGTAATAAAGTTTGAGGCCGATCGGACAAAACATTGCGCAAAAAATCGTTTATCCGCAACAATGTACAATTTCAGGTTAAGGTCCGACTGGGAACTTCGGCAGACTCTTATGGTTTTTTTGACGTATACAAAGTGTAAATATTTGCTGATTCTTTTGTAGCTGTTATGTGTATTTGTTAAGTTAAGCATTAATTAAGACTATTTTGTATATCGATATTTGGCTAACAATGGTTAAGTTCAGGGGTCTTTCAGTGCACGGAGGCTAACCCCACAGAGAGCTATTGAGAATATGCACACTTACATATGTATGTAGTACGATGTATATACAGGCATATACCACATATGTTATGTACACATATTTCAAAGTGTACTTGGATGGAAGTAAAAGAAGTAAAACTTGCTTTGAGAAAGCCCTGTCCCAGCTTCTGCTTATTGTTTGTTTTTTTTTATGTTGTTTTGAGCAGATCGAACATTTAGATCTTTGCCTGTAAACAGGGCACAGGACCAGGCACAGACCCAGCATGTGGTGGAATCAGCGTGTTCCGACTGGAACCGATTTTCCATGCCAAAGAAATAGTCCAGATCATCGGAGCCTTTGTGCAACCCTCGGTGCAAGAACAAGGCGGCTATATCGATTCTCGTGTGAAAACATGCAATTATGGTTTTATTTGTATTATTCTTGAGATTTCTTCAGCTCATTGATGACCTTTCTTAGGACCTGGAGGGCCTTAGGGTTGCACATATGTACGTATGCAAACCCATGCACATACCATAAATGCTTGTGATTACAATGTTCTAACAGGTTTGCCTAATATACTTTTTACATTCATAATTTAAACTATTTTCAAATTATTATCATTTTACAGTAATTAACAGTTATTAACATTACAGTTATTATTACCAAACTTTAAAGAACAAACTAATATTTAATTATTGACCTTTAGTTGTATTTAAAATATTTAGACTGGCTTTATGTCTAACTAGCGGGTATTCCCCCTTACTACAAAATTTATATATTATTTTTTACTCATTTCCCTTCCGGGGTAAATTAAAATTGATCCGTTCTACCACAAGTAAAGTTTAACATCGAATTTAGAACCTAAAGTTGGAATCAACATATCCGCCGTTTAAGTAACGCGATCTAAAGCGAAAGGCAAACGTTTATTTATTAAACTTTGAGATGAGTTTACGAAAAGTGTGCAACACTTCTCAGATTAATTTTCACGACAATCTTTGAAAATTTTTTCCAAAATGAGTGTAAGTATTAAAAAAATAGAATAGCATCGTAGTGTGTTAAGGACCAGACATTAAATATTTATATATAACATATATTAAGAAAATAATTGTTATTTCGGAATAAATTGTTATTAACAAATTTGTGCTTTTGTGTAAAGGTTTGGTTTCTGTATGCATAACAAG